GTTGTTGGCAAAACGGAATTTGCATTAATATTAAATCTGGCAGACTCATAAACAATTCAACGATTGAGACACATTATTTTCAGCGACAGCTTCTGGTTTTTGTGCCGAAATCCTTCTCGGAATACTAATTAAGCCCGGTACAAAAATGGCCTCCTTGATTGTGCCAGCAGGAGATGAAAGAGTGAAAGCCAAAGCCTGTTTGGGAAGGTATAAACCACACACCGCCCGACCACTTAATCAGTGACGTGATGCTCTGCAAACTGTCAGCTGTAGTTTCCGCAGCGGAGCCAGAACCACAGATAACCACACGTGTGACAGCGGACCACAAAACACAACCACTGTGCAAAAGACGATTAAAGACATTTCAATTTAATTGGTCATTTTTACTACACGGAAGAAAAAAATCATTAGACGTGCCTGCAAAAAAAGTTCACCCATTTTGAAACGAATTTAATTTGCTTCTCAAAATTCATTCTCAATTCTTATTTGAGATTTGTCTGATTTTTAATTTGAAACCATTGCCAAATATTTGTTTCATGTTTTGTGTTTTTGAATGAATGGACAAAAAAGGATCAATTGATTAGTTTCATTTATTTCTTTTAGCAGCGGAATGAATGTTTGGCATTTGTGTGTTCAGAGCCAATTCGTTATGCTATGAATCATTTCGTGTTTTTGTTTGCTCAATATTTCCGCTGTTGTCAATTAAATGCTTATCGCTCAGTTCCTCGAAAATATTAAAATTAATTAAATAAAATATGAAAAATATTTGCCACTCGAAAAAGGTGTACCACAAGTTTGCCAATTAAACAGATTTATTCATATTTGCGATGGAAACAAATTGTTTAGCCTGGCAAATTGCCAAATTCTACGAAAAGTTTTCAACTCTCGTCATACTGCCACTCTCAGGTATGTAATTAATTTGCAGCATGCAAAATGCTCCAGGTCCTCTGCTTCTGCATATGCAAAACTTTGGCTGGTGTGGCTGACGGTGTTGCAGAAACTTTCTGTCTGATAAATTGAATCAAATTTGTCGCCTACAAGTGAAGTAGCCCTCGGCGCGATTCGCCAAATTGCAGTTAATGAAATCTGCAATTGAAATGGGGTCCAGCAAGGTTGGCGGCACACTTTCATGGTATTCATATAAAATGATCAAAAATATGTCACAATATTCCAGCTTTTGTAAAATGTCACTTATATTAAATAAACAATTTTTATGATAATAGGCCAAATTTTTCGGTAAAATTTAAGGGCGCTTTTCTCTGTGTGAAAACTTTCCTGGCTATGAGTAATAGCGCTATTTTTTTTGGTAACCAAAAGTTTTAAGTTCCCCCCTTGCAGGATGAGAAATGAAATTTGAGTCTGCAGTTTGTCCACTGGCAAGTGCCAACTGCAGTTTCAGTCAAACAAAAATGGCAGCAAAATAAACTGAAATAAGAGCCGGAGAATAGCCAACACAGCAATGAAAGCTTTTATCCAGAAATTTATTGCCAGCTATTAGTATATACGTCAAAATTTGTGTGTCCTAATTGAAAATGAATTTGCTTTTTAGGTAACCCCAGTCTTTGGCTTTAGTCCTGCGTTCCCTTGTTCTAAGCTCCTTTCAATATGTGCGTTCTTTTCATCATGGAATTTCCATTCCCCGCTGCCTGTTGCTTTTTGAGGCATTTTCTGCGAAAATCTTTCGGGTTTTAGGGCTCTTAGGTGCGAAATGTTGGCAAAGAGCTTGCCATGAATTATATAAACTGCAAAGAACGTTTGGCTTAAATGTTGGCTTCGGGAAAAGGCTAAGTTAATCCAAGTTTTTCTTTTTCTATTTTACCTGTGGCCAATTCCCCTAAAAATTCTCATCGAATAGTTTCAGCAAGTTGGCACAAAATTGTGGTTCCATTTGTTGTGAAAATACTCACATTTTAATTTGACAACCCCTCGAAAGTATTTTATTTCTGCCAAAAGCAGTGAAATAAAATATCTTTCAGCAATGCAATCAATCAACTTCTAATGACAGGACTTTAATACACATTTAATACTGTGCCTTGTTCAAATAAATTGCTGGGTTTATTAAATATTAAAGCTTTGACTTTGATGCCTGACAATCGAGAAGTTTGGTAAAACGCGATTTTGTTTAAGCCGGCATTTTTCTCTCGGTAGGTCAAGAACCTCGGACTAGAAGCAACAGAACGCAAATTAAAGGCTTGGAACAAAGGCCAAACGTCGTAAAGCTAAATGAAGGCAAACACCCCAGAGTGGACCTCAGTTTTATGTCACTTTTTCTATATCCATTTATAAGACAAACAACATTTTAAATAAATTTACTTGGTATACAAAGGCAAAAAAAGGAAAATTTAATAATCTCCATTGCTTTTGGTTTTCCAATTCTTTTGATCAAAAGTATACCAAGAAGAGATAAGTATATTTTAATTTAAGAAATCAAAAATCAATCAATTATAATTATAGTTGAACACTTTTTTGCTTGCCACTCTCTAGATATAAAGTTAAAATGAATTTATTGCATATTATTATTATAATTATAATTTAAAGTTAGGGTTCACCCTAATGTACAAAACACTTGTATATTTGGAATGTGAAGGCGGTGCGTCATATCCGTTTTGGGGCGGAATATTTTTTACGGTTCGCGTGAAGAAAAGCTTTTGCGAATTGGGGAACCGAGTATTATGTTCACATATGGGAGTAGTAAACAATTGAGTGACTTATTACTCGGCATTATGCTCTGGCTTAGTTTAACCCGGAGCTTGAGTACCAGTTGCCATTGATTTTGTGCTTTTGGTGTCCTCGGTTAATGGTATTCCATGAGCGACGGCAAACATGAAAACAATACTAAATACTGGCATTGTTCATATTTCTAGTTGGCTGTCTGTCTTCGTCCCGAGTATCCCGATTCTTTCTGTTTGGGGATGTGTGTGTGTGACTGTGGCAGTTGCCCGTAGTTACGCAGGACCCCAACAATAGAAAGACAACATGTCCTAGTTAAGTGTGAGTCCAGGCCGAATTGTTATCCTTTGTGTATTTTTAGCGGCCACTTTATGAGTTGACGGCCATATATCTTCCTGTTGATTTATGCCAAGTGCAAATTAGCTCCAACGGCCCTTCTTTCTGTGCTATTTTTTCTTTTTATGGCAGGAATAAATTTGTGTTTAGTTAAACTTTAGAAAATTACCCAAACGATTGTCTCAAAAGATTAATGGTGTATGCTAACACTTTTCCAGAAAACAAGCTTTATGGCAGGAATAAATTTGTGTTTATTTAAACTTTAGAAAATTACCCAGACGATTGTTTCAAAAGATTAATGGTGTATGCTAACACTTTTCCAGAAAACAAGCTTTTTTCTGTAAATTAATACTTTTTACTTGTCCTTTATCTTCTCGAAAGTACCTACTAAACTAAGTTACAGAAAATTCTGCATTATATTTCCTTAAGATTAGACAAGTAGTTTTTATATGCAAAAGCAATCCTCGGAGAATGATTAAAAGAGACTCTTCTTGGCAACAACAAATTGTGTCATATCTAAAAAGTTGTGTGTGTTGTTGTTGTATTCCAATCAAAGTTTGATTGAGACAACCTATTTTTTTCAGAATAAAATAGTATTCTAGCAGTTGCACCTAATTCTAAAACGAATTGGCATTAGGTTTTCATGCCGTCCTTCAATTAAGGAACTTTGGTAAGCTGTAAATAGCTTCTGTATGTTTTATAAGCCATCACGGCACGAAATCGAATCGAAACTCAGAACTCCAAAATACTTGGCAACCAAAATCGACCACATCGAAGTGATTCGATTTATGTTCTAGTGGGTGTTTTTTGGGTGGGTGAAGAGTTTCGTGCCACCCAACATAATTAGGGCCAATGACAATCCTATCGGGCTGCAGGAAGTGCACCACCAAAGCTAGGTTTCGATTTATTCGAACGCCGTTGCCCGGACAACAGACGACCAGGTGGCCACGGAGAATTGGGCACAACAAAACTATTCGGAAAAGGCGTTTAGGTACTTGGGCGTTGGGAGGGCGGCATATTTAAAGCGGTCAGATTTGAGGGCAAAAAGTGAACAATTTCGGGGAATGTCGGCAGATGGCCCCCTTCGGCTGGTGATGATTGCTCTGGGCTGCCCAATTGTTCCAAGAAAGGGTCCTTTTTGTTACTTTTCTCAGAGTTTCACAACTCGTCTGGTAATAAAAACAGGACCAGAAAGAAAGGATTGCTGACATGCCATAACCACGAAAAAAACGGATTAAATTATGTTGTAGCCTTTAAAGTTAATTTGTAATAATTTTTGGGTAACCCCAGCTAATCGTAGCATTTAAATTAACATTTAACTAATAGTATTTGGCCACGACTGCTTGTTATATTATTTATTTGTGGGCTATTTTAAACTAAGCAACATATTTAACTCGTGTAAATAATGCGAGCAAAAATGAATGAAATGATTCACCAAAATAATATACGCAAATATAAATGATGTTTGCAAATGTGTATGGAATGATTTGAAATACCTTATCTTTTAAGCTTTTTTAGATAAAATATTTATTTTTGTATATATGTTATCCATACAAAAGATTTAAATTACTTTAAGTAAAGGAGCGAAGGGGTGATACACAACAAAAAAAAGACTGGATATAGATTAAGAGATTTCGTTATTGTTATCTTTTGAATGTAAATAAATAGTTTTTTATCTTTTCGTATAAGGTCTTACAAAAGTTTTATTTTATTCAGTTAAGGCAGAACAATCGGTGGAATTGTTCGTTAGCCTGTCCTCAGCAAAGTCAAAAATGAATTCGTACAGCTTTTCATATCGCTCATTTACCAATATAATGTCATAGCTCGAAAATCACATTGAATACGTAAATCATATACAATTTCAAATGTTCCTTAAGATATATTAAAATTTTGCTTAAATTTGTTTATACCAAGAAATTTGTAAAAGCGAAACCAATAAAGCCAAGCGAATTTTGATACAAATATAAGGTCTCTTGCATCGTCTTAGGCCTTACCTGTTGTTCCATTTTCTGATTGCGACCGTTAATTGCAGACATGTTCAAAATTGTGGCTTTAACTTCCAACTTCACTACGCAATTTCGATGATCAAATAAAGGGGCATTTGGCAAATTTCGGAGTGACAGCTGCTGGGAAATTTTCTTAAATCTTCGAGGCGATGAAGAATGCGAATGAATGCAGCAAAACAAAAACGCCGAAGAATCGTCCAAGACCAAGACACTCGCACACTATACATATATATATTGCACACCTGGCGACAGTTTTGTGGCGTGTGGTACTTTTGTAGTTTGTAGTACTGCAGTACACGCGACACCAAAAAACAAGGGGTGGCAAGGGGACGAGAGGCGGAGGAGGGGAAAATAAAGACTGAAGCCGCCAGCCGGCTCTTCCTGTTCTCGCTCTCTCTCTCTTTCGACGCGATCGGAGGGTTTGATACTCTCCGATTTATCACGGCGATCGATGGGGGCACTGAATATTTGCTTTAGTTTGTAAAGGGCAACCGAAAAGGTTTAGGTTAAGTACATATGTATGTGCAATATTTAATTTGGCAAACACTTCCGTGCTCGCTGAGTTCCGTGTGATATTTGCCAAACGAGTGGCTTTGGCGCCTATTTCTTGGTAGAGGGAAGGAGGAGGCGATATATCCCGTCGACCGAACCGCACGCTGCCGAAACAACAACTGCGGCTACTACTAGCAGGCAATCACCACTCAGGCAAAGGCAAAGGCCTCGAGCGGAACGGAATGGAAGAGGAACACAAAACGAACCACTTCGTCCTGTCGTGTGTCAGCGAGAGAGAGAGAGAGAGAGAAAGCGAGAGCGAGAGAGTGCGCTCTCTCCTGTGCCTGCTTCCTCTTCCACATCCTGCAACCGACAGATGTGCAGCTGCCGAGTGCATTTGGCTTCGAGCCTCCGCCTCCTTTTCACTAGGATTGGGATTAAGAAACGCATTCCAGTACAAAGCTGAGCAATTCTCACATATGTCTATGCATTTGGTAATTGCATTCCGGATTGGGCACACTCCACTGGCTAACATAAACGTATCTTATTGATTTTACTAGATAACAAGAGCTTCTTCTTAATTACAAATAGTAATCTATTATTTATTGAACTCTTTCGGTAATGAAATCAGAAGATAGTTTACATCCGCCGACTAAAGCACTCAAAAATTAGAGTCGCATTCTAAAACTCAATTTATTTTTAATAAATAAACAAATGTATTTATACCAACTATACATATTTTGAAAAATTAGGCACAGTGTAAAATCTACCTTGTTATTTCGATCGATTTCAATTTATAATTTAGTGCTGTTGGTAATAATATTTCCACAAGCCGCACGTGTGTGGTAGAAAACAAATTGGCGGAATAATATCTATCTGCTTATTTAACCACAATGTCCAATTTTCATATTGATTTGTATGTATAAATACAAGGTATTTACAGTAAAAGACCCACACAAAGCATTTTACGTATGCAAGAAATGTTTGAAAACTCATTGATTAAATATTAAACCAACAACGCTGTTAGCTTTATTGATGAAGACTAATCAAAGCCCCCCCTTTTCCACACCAATAGTATACATATAGACATCTTATGCGTTGTCAGCTCGCCTGTTTTATTTCATTAACATTAGTCTTAGCCTACGATTGTGATAAGTAAAATTAAATAACAAATTAAATGAAAATATATCTTCGCTCAGAACAGCGTTCTGGTAAATTCGATTGAAATTGCCATGTCATTTATGAGGTTCCCTAGCAGTAAAGGTTGTCAGGTTTTTTTTTTTTAAATTTTTGTGGGGGTCCCTAGAAGAATCTATGCTTCTTCTTCTTCTTGTTCTCCCCCTCCGCCGGCGGCTGTGGCTCCACGGATACCTGTCGCCTGGGCAGCAGAGGCGGCGGACTGACATTGCCATCAGCATCTCCAGCTCCAGCTCCATCGCCATTGGCATCCACCGTGCTAAAAGCTGGCGAAAGAGGACGTGGGGCACGCAGGATGGAGGTCAGCGGTGGCAGGGGGGAGCTACCGTGGCCGTTCGCCTCCTGACCATCCTCCTCGATCCTGTCCAGCCGCGAACCGTGCACCGAGGCCAGTTCCGAGGGCGTCTTTACCTGCGAGCCGCCCTCATCCCCGAACTCGCTGGCCATGTTCATGCCGATGGTGGCGCCCACCTTGGCACTGGCCCGCTTGAAGTGGTCACTCAGCTTGATCTGCACCACGTTGATGAACATGGAGGTGAGGGCCAGGCCGAAGATCAGGTAAATCATGCTGACCATCACGTAGAAGGGATTGCCGGGCACCAAATCGCCAAAGCCAATGGTGGACATCGAGATGAAGACGTAGTAGAAGGCGTCCAGGGGTGACCATTCCGACTCCACCAGTGTGTAGCCGAAGGTGCCCAGCAGGATGTACGAGATGAGCAGGAGCGAGGCCACCGACACCGGCAGGTTGAACTCGTCGTCCACCTCGAAGGTCTCCGGATACGGCGACGTGGGCGTCTCCGGGTGCGAGGTGCCCAGCGATCGGCCTGCCTCCGCATCTGCCTGCGACTCCTCGTCGTTCTCCTCACCCGACTTCCCAAAGAACATGCTGGGCCGTCGAATGGCCATGTCGTAGACTGTGTTGAACCCTGTCATCGCATCACGGATCTGCTGCTGCTTCCGGATCCTCCGGCAGGATCGAGTGTAGTACACACGCCGCACATACGCCCACAGGAACTTGACGCAGCGCGTGAAGAGCTTTCCCAGATCGGCCAGCACGATCAGGAACATGGGGATGCCGATGATGGCGTAGACGATGGTCAGCGATCTTCCCAGGTTCGTCTTTGGTGTGATGTGGCCGTATCCTGAGGAGAACAAGAGGGACACTCAGTTTTAAAAGCAGTGGGGGGTAAAAAATAAAATTTTAAATAGCATTCACAAACTTATTTATTCAAGGAGTTTGTGCTATTTATTAAAAAAGAGTATTAGTGATTTAAAAGTGGATTGTAGAGTGCTTAAGTTATAGGTCGACGAGATCTCAGAAGAACTCCGGCGACATTTAGGAAATAAGATTATCCTAACCGAATAAGGAAAAGGCGGAATAAACAGAAAAATCCATTTGTACTGCCCTGCTATAAAATAAATAACATCAAGAATGTATCTGTTCTTATTTCGCTGCACGCTACCATTAACACAATTGTTGTGTTCTGTGAGTCAGAAGTCCGGGTTGCCTTAACTTTTATAATTCCAGAAACGTATATACTTTTTTAAGGTTTTTCTATTAAAATCTGGTCCTAACTCAAACCAATTTTGAACCAATTTCGAACACATTTCGAACCATTTTCGAACCAATTTCGAACCAATTTCGAACCAATTTCGAACCAATTTCGAACCAATTTCGAACCAATTTCGAACCAATTTCTTCCTTTTGCTGTTTACAATCCAAAGAGGAATCCAATTGATCGGTTACCTATGGTTGTGATTACGGTCCAGCAGAAGATAAAGCAATTGACAAAGTTCCATGACTTTTGGCCCGGAAAACGGCGCAGTCCCAGCTCGGCCAGGGTATTCAGTTCGTCCTCGAATTTGCGCAGCTTCTGACGCGCCAGAGACTTCCAGTCCTCCTCTCTGGCAAAGATACAAACGGATCACTCGCTGAACTTGGCTAGCAAGCCCGCTCCACTAGCCCTACCTCATGTTGTGGCTGACGTCCCAGAGTTTGTCGACGAAATCCCGCTTGACCTTGCGCACCTCGCACTTGTAGATGTCCTCCGAGGCGCCCTCCGTATAGCGAAACATGAGTCCTCCGAATCCCAGCAGCATGGTCAGGCAGATGAGGTAGGCAATGCACTTGTTGCGCAGCTGACGCAGCTCCTCCACCCGCTGGGGGTAGTCCAACTTCAGGCGCCGCCACTCATGAGCGGCTTCCACCCGTAGGTGGTAGAGAAAGGTCCTGGAGGTCAACTTCTCCGGCTGGCTTACTGTGGGTAAATCTGTGACATCTTTACTTTTAACCACCTTCTTTCGTCGGAATATATTTTTTATTCGCTGCCAGAGGGATGATTTGGGTTCGGGTTTTGGATCTGGCATCTGGTCTGCTTCTGGCTCAGCTTCTGGTTCGGGAATAGATTCTTCGGCGGGTAGAGGCTCCTCACCTTGGCCACCCCTTTCCAGACTGCCGCCCGATCTCTGGCTGGCTCTCAGCGGACGCTCTAAGCTGGAACTGCGCTTTGGCGGCTTCTCTTCCTTTTCGGCCAATCTCAAGCTGTGGCTGCGACGCACTCCCTCCGCCGCCAGATTTTGGGCCGCCAGAGCAGCCTCTGCCTTTTCCGCCCGCTCGGCTGCCTCCATGTACTTCTGCATCAGCTCTGATTGCTGTTCCGCCTCCGTGATCCTGGGCTTTGGCACCTCTGCTCTAGACTCGCCCACCTCCACGTACTCGTGCTTCCGGCTGATCTCCTGCCGTTGCTCCGGAGTCTTGGACCTTCGTTGGGGTCTCACGGGCGACAGAGAGTTGTTGCGACTCACGGACTGTCTTTCCGGTGGTTTGGGTGGGGCAGTAGCTTGTGATGGTGGTGGTGGTGGGGCTCCTCGAATCGGAGCTGCCACATAGCCCTGGGGAATCTTGGGGGGTCGTGGCCTGGCATGAATCTCCTCCATCGCCTCAGCTTCGGAGGAGCTGAACTGGGTGGAGGATTCCTCGTAGCCGCTGCTGCGATTCCGTGCCCGAACCTTGGGTGCCTCCTGCCTCTGAAACCGCAGGCTGTGGATGAGCCGGCGGCGCTCCTCCTCGTCCTGCGGCAGCTGGATGCGATCGCTGAGCTTGCGGTAGCTCTGCAGGAGTCGTTTCCTCTCCTCATTGTCCAGCTGCTGGCGGTGGCGCATCTTGTGCTCCCGCTTCTCGCGCTCAAAGAGCCGTTTCTCGGCATCGAAACGCCTGCGTTCGTCCTCGAACCGCTGCAGATTCTGCTCCAATCGGGTGAGGGTATCCTGGGTCTGGCCGAGATTCGGGATGGCCATGGCCCTCTGCTGCTGGCTGCTGCTGCCGGTGGTCAGCTCACTCTCGCTAGACTCCTCCTTGTGGCGCGGCGAGGATAGACTGCGATGCTTGATGAGATGATTGGCATCCGGACTACTCAGCTTCTCGGCCTCACGCGGCTGCGATTGACTGCGTGCCGTGGAGCTGGCGAAGCTCTTGTCCCGCTTCCGCAGGATCTTGCTCTCGTGGGCGGACAGAGTGCCAGGCGGTCGTATCTGCATGCGCACCATTTGGGGTGAGGGATCCGGGAAGTGTTCGGGACTGGCATCGTCCTGCGGCAGGACATCGGTGACGGGCGTCGGCTCACGGTGGCTGCGACCTAGGCGGCGTCGATGGCGCTGCTGCTGCCTGGCGTCCACTGGCTGCTCCATCATGTCCAGCCGCAGCCGTGCGCTACTTTCGCGATCTATCTTTGTGCTCGTGCTCATGCTCGTGCTCATGCTATGGCCATCTATTTTTAACTGGCCAACGAGGCGTTCATATTCCGCTTATGAAAATATGCCTCTGGGTAATTATATCACTTTCGCTTGCAATTTTCTATATGCTTATCGTTTTGCAGTTGCTCAAATTGTTGGACAATACACTTTCCACCGATTTATTCTTTATTTTCCGATATTATTTTTATGTATTTCAGAAGTGCAATTACATATAAGAATGTCTGTATCTGTTTATATAGATGGTGCAGAGCGCGACGCGATCCAATAAATTGGATATATCTGACTGACTCAACCACGGCTGGCATCCAACTGCTGAGAGTGTGGAGAAAATTCAAATACAACTTTTCAATTTCAATTTTGTTGTCTATATTTTTGGTAGACGTCTCAACAGCTGTTCAGCTATATAGTAATTAAATTTGCTATATCTGCTGCATCCGATGATGTGAGATACACTCTCTATTATTGTGTTTGTCCAATATTCTCTTGTCCGATTGCTCATTAAATGAGTAGGAAAAAATTTGTAAAATATGTAGTTGCACTAGTTGTAGTTAGGGAATTTTGATGTCTCAATCGGCAATTCTTTTTTTTTTTTTAATTTTGTATGAACAAAAAAATGTTCTTGTTAAAAAAAATGTAATAAACATTTTGTAAAAACGATTATTTATGATTCCCAAATGTAAGAAGCTGTAAACAACTTTAATACATTAAACAATATTTAGTAATTACAAAATTACTAAATATTTTCAACCATAATGTATGTATTTTTTTGAGTAAACTCACAAATGTAAGCTTTTTAAAAATTTAAAAATTATTTTACATAACCATGTGTTTTACACCAGCTTGACATGTTATCTACACATAAACTATTATTGGTACACATACAAATTAGACAAAATCAATTGTAGCGTTCAACGAGATAGAAAGCTAAACTTATCAAGATAAGTATCAAGATATTTAGGCATATTTGTTACGACCATCCGTAACAATTGTTGTATACAAGGGCTAGAATATGTTACCCGTTTAAGAATCAAGAAAATATTTTACGTTTTTAAAAGTCCGCTACATTAGTTCAGTGTGACCATGAGTCCACAAATATACTAAAAAATCGCATTTAACCGTGCTGTGAATACTAACACATATGCTTACAGTTATCGATGTATCGATTAAGAAACTCAAACTTCTTCCTTCTCTAAATATTGTGGCTCAAAGATACGCGCACGTGTTTTTGGTTTTTGTGCTCAATATTTTTAATAATTAAATATGGGATTTGGTAGACCTCGTGGCGGCGGTGGTGGCGGCGGTGGTGGCGGCGGTGGCGGCGGAAGAGGATTTCGTGGTGGCGGCGGCGGCGGAGGAGGAGGTGGTGGCTTCAGATCCAACGGCGGCGGCGGCGGAGGATTCAGCCGAGGAGGAGGTGGACGTGGTGGCGGCCGAGGAGCCTTCGATAATGGTATGTGAATGGAACTTATTAAGTGTCACTACAAAACCTCAGCTAAAAAAGTTGAAGAAACTAACTTTTCCTTAAATATAACATTCAGTTAATACAAGTATTAACAAAACTACAAAAAACCACGTTGTTTACATATGTACATATGTACATATATTAAATATAATTCCAAAAGATACATATATTTCAACTTATCCCCATGATTTGGTATACATATGTATGCATAAAGATACATACATACATACATACATATAAAAGAAGAAGGAAAGCATATTTTGTATTGGCGAGTGAAAATATCTCTCGAACAATTTTTGAAAACCCTCTGGAAGTGTTGTCTTCTTTCAGGCAATTTGCCAAGTTTCCATAGACCACATTATTTCGCTTTTTTTACTCTAATTGTTATTTATATTTTTAATTTTAGGACCTCCGGAGAGAGTTATTCCCCTAGGAAGCTACGTTTATTCGTGCCAAAACGACCTTGTGTGCAAAGTTGGAATCCAGGATGTCCCATATTTCAATGCCCCAATTTTCCTCGAAAACAAGGAACAAGTAGGCAAAATCGACGAAATCTTTGGAACCGTTCGTGACTACAGCGTGTCCATCAAACTGTCGGATAATGTCTATGCGAACAGCTTTAAACCGAATCAGACATTGTATATCGACCCTGGAAGGCTATTACCAATCGCAAGATTTCTACCCAAACCTCCACAGCCGAAAGGAGCGAAGAAAGCATTCACAAATAACCGCGGTGGAGGCGGCGGTGGATTTGGAAACAGAGGTGGTTCTCGTGGAGGAGGTAATTTAACAAGTTTTGTTTGCAAACTGGAGCCTAACTCTTATATTCAACAGGTGGTCGAGGTGGAGGCGGTGGACGCGGTGGTGGCGGATTCAGAGGAGGATCTCGTGGAGGTGGCGGCGGCGGAGGCGGAGGATTCGGCAGAGGAAGAGGAGGTGGTGGTGGCGGTGGCGGTCGTGGTCGATGGTAGTTTTCAATATTGGACCCACATTCAAACATTTAAGGAACTGTACAGTACAATTTTTGTACATGTCCAAATAGTTTATAAGGAAAGACTCGTTTGGGTATTATTCATTGACCAACCAATCGAAAAGTGTACCTCAAATGCTTCTAAAATAAAAATCTTAAAATTGTATGATCGTATTTAAATTTAAAAAGGGAATTTTAAACTCCAGAGACACCATGCAGTTTAAAAAGTCTCTAGGAAGAATTATGACGTAGTTGTTCGTTTGACTTTTATTAATTAGATTAGGTCAGGTTCATTAAAAATTGAACTGATTAAGCTTAAATCGTAACATTCTTAATATTGAAGAACTGACCAATTAAGTCATAGATATAACAAGCAATGCTATAATGTTAACTGAGGGTAAAATGTATCTTTCTGAGAAAGATACATCCCAATCGGAGAAATATTTGTATTACTAGTTTATCTTAGACTTCCTAAGAACAACTATTAATTAACAAGATTATGTCAAGAGAAGACTCGGTTTTTGTATTTGGTAGTAAATCTTTTGGTAAAAAACAATTCAAACTTGAAGGAACTTAACAATTGGCACTGGGTTTTCCGTTGTTTTATGTACATTTTGGGTACACTTAATGTCAAAGAAATGTTTATTTTTATGCCTACCTCGTCAAGAAATAGGGTGGTCCAAAACAAACTTTACTATTTAGTTTTTGAGGTAGTAGATTTGTGTGAACAATAAATGTACTCGAACAAAATTTTACTTTAAGTCTTAGGCGTTGCGCAATGGGATAAAATTTTTCGTAAAAATGTCATGATAGAATATAATTTTTGATATATACATCAAATATATATGATATACTTTGAGTCCAATGAGCGTATCCTTAAACTCGTTTCAACTCAAAGTCTTTCAAATAAATTGAGTTACAGATCGTTAGCAAACAACTTGAGCATGGCTGGAGGGAACTAAAAATTTGTTGAATTTCGTAGTGTTATAGCGAACAATTTATGAAACTTGGAAACTCGAGTTTATCTCCCAAGTTTTCTATCTACAGAATTCATTTGGAAAGAAAAAGATAAGCTTAAGACTTTTAATTTGAAAGCTGAAACAAAATAATAATTATAATAATTGGAAATGTCCTCGAAAATAAAACTCGATTTTTAAACGCAAATTTCTAGAAAACCGACGAATTTAAGCAATTATCATTGGTTTCTTTCTCTGCATTGCAAACACCTAGTCAAAATAACAATATTCTCATCAGGGGAACTTTATCGCATGATTTGTGGTGAAATAAACGGATGACTCCTTTAGTACGAAGCAAGCTGCAATTATAATGTATCAATTTTATGCTAGAATTACACTCATTCGAATTCTCTTGAAATTTTATTCATTTTTCGAGGTTTGTTTAAAATGCCCAAGATTGTTTGGTATGGGGGTTTCCTTCCGCTTTCCACTAGCAGTTCGATTCGTGCATATAATTTGTTAAATTTGCAGCTGTTCAAATCGAAAAAGTATATTTATGGCAATAGATTTGGCAAACATTTTAAATAATTTGTTTTTGACGTCTAGTATTTTATCTTTGTATACACTGACGTCATTGTTGCCATAGAGCAATTCTCCACTTCCAAATTTCAAATAAATTAAATGTTTTGTTAAATTTTCATCAGATACTTTCCGGAACCCCTTTGATTTTTCTCGCCCCTCCTCGAACTGTCGGATGGCTCAGCTCCCGCCCCTTGCTCCTCGGAAAACGTTGATGACGGATCGGATTCGCTTTTATGGAATTTCTTCGCGATTTTTTTGTTTATTTATTCCTCGCAATTTCATTCAACATTTCCGAACTCGAGATTCGTTTACCATTTGGGCATGCACCATTTTAAAACATTGTATTGAATCCATAAAATCGTTTTTACTAAGCGTTATTTTAATCGCAGCACCAACAGTTTTATGGCAGCCAGCGAATATGGATTTTGCTTGGGAATTATGAAGTGTTTTCCGGTTTATTGATCTGTTCGATTTTGTGTTTACTTTGCGCATAAATCAATAAAAACTAAATGGCAAAATCCTGAAATATTACCTGTCATTCAAAAGAGAACTTATTCGAATATTTCATTGTGTCATGGGTGAATTGGGTAATATTTTTGTGACATCTTGGGCCTAAAAATAAGTAAATACTAAATATAGCGTGCATTGATTTTCAAGTGAGTTATAGTCGTGAGCAAACACAGCAATCTTTGAAGACTCTCGATTTCAAATTAACACATCCATGCACTAAACCATAAATGCAAATCTGTTTACAAGGCACCCGTTTAAACAAGAAAATTCTGTCGTTGTGTTGTGGCAATTATTTGGCAATTGGTGTTAATTGCTTTTGCGTTAGTGTGGGTGCAAAGTTTTCCACACTTGCGGATTTATTTGAGTTTATTTCTTACTTTTCGGTTTTTGGAAACATGTCAAAAGTGGCGACGCATGGAAATAATTTATTTCCATTTTACCCATTTGTCTGGCTGGCGGTAAAACGAGTCGGCAGACAGAGAATAAAATTCAGAACAAACCCCAAAAGCAAGTGAATCGAATATAATTGGCTATCAAATCATTAACTAACCACACCGTTAATATGAAACATAATTTCACGATGTAGAGCAATCATTCAAAATATGAGTCTACCGCGCAGAATTGTTCGGTCGAAAGAATTTCCATTTTCATGGCATGTTTATGAGGGAGTAAAGTCTTTTGCAAATTAAAAGTGAAATTAAATGAAAATTTAATTAAGAATGTGTGAAGTGAAAATTCGTGGAATTTTGTTCTTGAGGTGCAAGAACAGCGGGTGAGTTATTTATAAGTCCTAATTAAGAATTGTGACAGTATTCCAAAGAATTTCGAAGCCTCTCGAGAGACCTCATAACTGTCTGCGCCAGAAGAGACACAATTTTTTTATCTCGCAAATGCCGACAACGATCGCAAAAATATTCAAAACTATTTCCATCTTTTGTGTCACATATTTTGTTGGCTTAATAATGAAGAATACACAACATAAATAGACCGTCTTGCGTCCTAAGAAAACATCTTTTATCGGCGTGGGAGTCTTTGCACTCACAATACACTTGGGAATTACGAAAGTTCGCTTTCGAAGATTTAAATATATATCACTTACCTATGGTAGTGTATATGGTGCAGCTGTATACCATGGCGTTCCAAAAGGACCACGGTTCCGCTTTCTCCGCCAGTCCATTCCTGAGTAGCGATTCCACCACCGACGGATGATTGTTCATTATTCGCAGCACTTGACTGTCGAAATCTGTTTTCGACAACTGAAATATGCAAAATATTATAAATTGTTTTGGGTTGGAAATATTTTACCAATGATCTTACCCCGCTCAACTGTGGATCCTTGGTCATCTGACGCATTTCGTCAAAGAATTGCCTCTGCATCCCCTGTAGCTCCAATTTTTCCAGCTTTCCCTGACGCACTAAAATAGAAGAACACGTTTCATGAAACCTTGACCTATGTTGGATGGGATTAAAAAGTAGGAAGATTGCCAATGTAGTCTTCGCTCTCAAGGCAATAAATCAAAGGGTTTTGGCTTTCCAAATTAGTGAAATCGACAAATGCATTCGGTGAATTTCAAAGCTTTCTATTACAATGATTTTGGGAATCCTCCATCCGCTCGTTAATCATCTACAACGGGACGCCTTGCTTGTTTATACGACCCAGTGTTCCCCTCGCAGCTGTGATTCACCCATATAAGTGTACCTATGAGATGCGAACGTTCCTTCACCTGGATACTTGGACTCGGAGACTGAATCAGTCGTCTGCCAAATTGATGGGGCATGTTTTTACGATTACAATACAGCGCACATACACTGTCAGCAGGTGTATTTATTTGAATGGCTGCGAACTGTTTACTATTTTCCAAACAATTTCCGAAGAGCTTGATAAGCAAACAAATCAATTTAGTGCACTCCTGCGTCCGGTTGTTTGGGGGGGGAAACCTTATGATTATTGTCTAGAGGATATCGTCACTGAACTGAAGTTGACAAGGGGTTGAGGCTCACCTTCGATGGCTTGGAAGAGGAGCGCTCCGCCCACGCTGTAGAGTCCCAGGATGAAGAGCAGGAACATGTGGGTGAACCACCGACGTGACCACTTGCTAAGCCTGTTGTACATGCCAAAGGTGAACTTCTCGCCGAAGCTCATGCCCGACTTGGTGAGGTCGAGGAAGCCCTCGTAGCCCTTGGTCATGAAGTTGCCGTAGCCAAAGGGATTGGCCACAGGTGGCCAGTAGGGACCCTGAGTCCCATTTCCGGTGTAGTTCGTCTGGGCCGTATGGGGGGGCTGGGCACTGGCCGGCATGGAAGCTTGACTCATCGCCGATCCGCCGGTCAGGTTGTGGATATTAATCCGGGGTGGTCTATTCGCCCTTCGAGAGGGCGGCGGTGTACTAGGAATTGGTGTTATGCTGTTCGCCTGCGACATGGTCGAGGATCTGCTTATCTTATCTTGGGATAACTTTGAATAGGGCTCTTTTAAGGCTTTTTTAGGTTTACTTGCTGAATATAAGAACTCAAATCATTGGACACTTTCTCGCCATTATTTAAGTTCCATTCACATATATGATATGTATGTACTTATATATTTGTATTATTTTTAAGTTTATAAGTAGAATTGCCGTCGCGTTTCCAAAGGCGCCGCGAGTATTTGTTTCTCCGCGTATTTGTGTTTTCCCGATGCTCTGTATAGCTCTTCCCACTTCCGACCGCCTCGTTCTTGAATCCAATGCGAACTGAAATGAAGCAAAATATTTTGGCCAACATCGGTGCTGTTGTCGCTTTCGCTGGGAGCGTTCTAGCCACGAATCTCCGGCTGCCGCCGACTATGACGACATCGACAGTCATGAGCTCACGGGTCTGGGTCTTCGCCTTCGTCTTCGCCTTAGTCTCCATTAAGGAACCACCAACTGGTCTCAGCGTACAAGTTGTTTATTTCATAATTACATATGTGATAGGGTCGCGCAGTCGCTGCTGTTGTACTTCCTAAATCGAGTTTTGTTTTTCGTTTAAAGCGTAGTTCTCTTATCGTAAATATTTTCGTTTTGTTGTTTATAAATTTGTTCTCGCGTTAGCTTGGTCTGCCACTAATGAATTAGGCATTTTCCCTCGCATAATTTATCAGTATTGAGCATTTTTCTCGCTTCTGCCGCTTAATAATTTGCATAAAATTAAAACAACCGAAGATATTAGTCATTCGTGCCCGGCAGTCATTTGGGTTTTCATAGAACTGTGTCTAATAGACTTGGCCGTTTTTTTATTTGGCTTACACACAAGTGGTGAACAACTTTCTAGGAAACGCTTAAGAAATTTTTAAATAAATGACAAAATTATCTGACCAATTAGAAGGAAATAAATACACATATCTAGAATTTAGTTTAAAAACTACTTAAATACAACAACTACGTTTGCCTTTGTTTTTCTATTATTTACTGAAGTGCAGCCACTTGAATGGATTTTTCAGACAAATGATTAAATTGTTTCCCGCTGTTCATATATTTAGATACAGTTTATATATATGCCAAGAAATAAATACATTTTTATATTTCTATTCTTTAGCAATTTGTTTTCTTCAGTTCTTCATCTGTTGTTCTTTTTAAATATAAATATTTTGAATAAATGACACCTGTTGATAAATGGTTGCTTGTTTGTTACTTTATTTTTAATTTATTAATAACAAAACTGTGAGGCTGCTAAACAGGTAGCGGATAATAAAATGTATTTATTTATTTATTTCCATTTATGTAATACGACATTATTATCGCACGCTTTCTGTACAGGACCCCTTGGAAATAAAGACCAAGCCATAAATCCACAATTTAAGACAATAAAAACTTTAAAAACCAGTTTGGAATTATCGCAAACAACAATTATTTCGGCTTGGTGCTCTGAAAGAGCCATTTTTTCGATTTTCTACAATTGCTTGTAAGTGTACTCAAAAAAAAAAGTATGAACAAGAGGGTAAGAAGATGGTAATGATTTTAAAACCCATCTATGTTAAAGCGATTTCGATCACATCCCAGGGTATAGGTTTTTTTTTCGATAGTTTCAAATCTCTAGCTTTTAAGCAGAGCTCGAAATCGGTATAGAAACAGACGGACATGGCACTATCAACTCGTCTAGTCAAACTGATTAAGAATATATATACTTTATAGGGTTGAAATGTCTCTTTCACTGCGTTACAAACTTCTGACCAATTTTATAATACTCTCTGCAAGGGTATAGCAAGTATAAAATCAAAATATTCATTCGTTGCCCTTCTTGGTAAGTTAAAAAAACTTATCTTATACATTAACTAGTTCTATAATATTTTTTTGATATATTTTATTTACATAGTTTGTACGCCAAATAGTATTTAAATATTGGCGCTGACTATCGGTATTCTAACCGATATATGCACGGACGGTCACACACCAGGGTACGCAGTGTTGTGTAACGCTAGAACTGTAGCCTGCGAGCATTGCTCAACACGAAGATGTTCTAATTGGTGCACTAACATATGTACATATAAACTATCAAATTGGCCATCGTTTAGCTCGGAAAATGGAAGAAAATGAGACCCGGCCAGAGGCCACAGACCCCACGGAACTGGCCAACGGTAAGGCAGCCGGTCGCTGCGCGGGGAAAGCCCTTAACTAACCCAAAACTCCATCGACAGGGACAGGTGAGGTTGACGCCGCCAGCCAACACAAATTCAGTCACCTGCAGAACGAGATGCGCAAAATGCAGAACGAGTTCAACACGCAGCGGGCCAAGATGCGGGAGCTGTACATGCAGAAGGAGGCTGAGGTCAGCCAGAGCCAGCTGGAGCGCAGGCAGCTGCAAGCGGAATTGGACGAGCTGAAGACACACCTGATGGTGGCGGACCTCAAGTCCGAGAACGAGCTGCAGCTGAAGGACCTCAAGGCGCAGGAGGAGATCTCCTCGCTGCAACAGCTGGTGCAGGACACCATCGAGGAGTCGTCGCACTACAAAAGCGAGCTGGAACGCCTCAAGCTGGAGCTGACCAAGTACCAGCAGATTCAGCATCAAACACAAACGCTGGCTCAGCAACCGCAGGCTGAGTCATCCGGCGGCATAGCGCCCCAAGTGCTGAATCAGGTCAAGAAGACGCTGGGCTCTGTGCGCAAACTAGGCACCGACTCACTGAACAGCAGCTTTCAGCAGGAAGAGGATATCCGGTCGTCGAGCAAGGGCAGTGGCAAGCAATACGTAAGTTTCTCGTACTGAGCAGTCTTCAGTGGTCTAACGCATGCTCCTCTTACAGGCCTCCGAGGAGGCGGAAATGATGCACTCCATCGTCGAGCAGCTGCAGGAGGAGATGAAGGCCCTAAAGGTAAAGCTGCGCGAACAGGACGAGCAACTGCAGGCCAAGTCACCGGTGGCGGATGAATCCGCCCTGCACAAGTCCACATCCATGGATGTGGCCGAGGGTTCCTGTGAGGCCTGCAGCTTGGCAGAGAAGAAGGCCGATGAGCTGAATGCACACCTCAACAAGCAACAAAAGCAAGTGGATCTTTTGCAGAAGCAGCTTGTGGAATCGCGCGAAACGCTGGCCAAAGAGGCCGCGCTGCGAAAGGATCTGGAGGACCAGTGGCAGGAGAAGCGGGAAGCCCACAAAAGCGAATTACAAAGCCTGCGCGATCAGGCCAAAACCAATGAGCAGCGACTGCTGGACATGCAGCAGGCGTTCCTCGAGACCAAGGACGAGGTGATAAAGCAGATACAGCGCGTCACCGACGACCGGGAGCGGGTCAACAAGCAGCTGGAGACGCTGCAGGCCGACAACGACTTCCTGTCCGGTCGCTATCTGGCCACGTCCGAGGAGATCGACAACCAGTACATCAACCTGCCCAACACGGTCGTCGAGCTGCAGGAGCTAATGCTGCGACAGCAAAACGAGCTGATCCAGGCACGCGTTAGCAGCGAGTACGAGCGGCAGAAGTGCACCAGCACTGAGGATGAGATTCAGATCTTGCGGGCCCAACTGGAGGAGAGCAACAACGAGCGACGGGCCTACAAGCGCAAAATGCAACTAGATATTAAGTCACTGCAGTAAGTTAAAGCCTCTCTTGATTGAAGTGTAAGCCGTGGCTCATGCTAGAATTGATTACTTAGGGACCGGGTTACGGAGCATTTGGTCACGGTGCAAGCCTACGAGACGACAAAAACTCAATTGGAGCGCAAAGAGGCTGAGCTCAACAAACAGCTGTCCGAGTGCCGCGTTGAAATCATTGAACTGCAAGAAACCAATGTAAGTAAAGACCGTGAAATACCAAATCAGATGCGGCGACAACTAGATACCTTTGCAGGAAAAGTACGCCAAAACAAATTCGGATTACAAGACGAAGATAAAAACCCTGCAAGAGGAGCTATCCACCATGGAAACAGTGCAAAAGGATTTCGTCAAACTATCTCAAACCCTTCAGGTGAGTGCGATATAAAAATATGGTTTATTTACTTAAATATTTACATTCTGTTCTTATAGATGTCGTTGGAGGAGCTGCGGCATGCCGATACGGAGGTTCGCTGGCAGGACGACGATGACGTAAACAACTGCCCCACGTGCAACGCCTATTTCACGGTCATGGTGCGCAAGATCCATTGCCGGCACTGCGGCCACATCTACTGCGATAAGTGTCTAACGAAAACGGTGCCATCTGGGCCACGGAAGCGAGTGGCCCGAGTCTGTGATATTTGTCACACGCTGCTCACGCCAAACACCGCTCCCTACTTCAGTCAGGGACAGCCGCCGCAGCAGCAGCCAGGTCAGCAGCAGCAGCAGTCCAACTAGGCGGCCGGGCTCCAAGCCCACGTTATGTTTATTATGTGTGAGCTACGATTACGATTAGTTGGTATTTCCTTGAACTCTATTGCTCGGTTTTTGTGATCCGATTTAACGATGTTACGATTCGGTGTTTAAACCGTTTCAATGCCACAGTAGGTCGAGTCATTTCCTTTTTCCATATGCTAATGTATAATTTGCAATTTTGCCGTACCTTCTTTGTGCTCTGTATAACGTAAGCGATGAGTTGTCTATGTTAGCTTATGTCGTAGGTAAGTTTTCATAATTGAATTGAACTCAAATCAAATATACAAATAAAAACATATAATGTTTGTTGTTTGTCATCAGACATCTTTACTTGAACCAACTTTGCCTGCAAGAGAGGGAGCAGTTAAAAGTGTTATATATTTAAAGACGAGTCATGCAACAAATGCTTTGTGTTCTTTGTTTTTTTTTTTATTCAAAAATACTAAAAAGAGTTTGTAAATTTTTGTTAACAATTGTATTTGTGTCTTCATTTGGTTGCGAGGAGCTAGGATTGGTATAGGTATTTGCTAAATATTAAAACATACTAACAATTTTGGGCATGCCCATATAAATTCAGTATATACAACTCTCACTTCAACTACCAAATAATGTTAAACTAATACTGCAATCTCCGCATTCAACGAAAGTCATGAACAATAACAGACACTACACACACACACACACACGCATGGGGGAATCACGTTACTTGGGAAGCAATTACGGGTTGTTTTGGCACAGGTTGTCTGCGGAAGAGATAGAAAGATTAGATGGCAATTAGCCTGTCTGGGGAAACGGATTTCGATCTAATTTCCCTTACCTCACCATAGAACACGACCAGCTATCAGAGCCACTATAGTAACAGCTGCCACGCCCACAACGCTCATCACTCTCACAGCTGGATTGGGAGAAAAGAGAATAACCATATCAGTACATTAAGTTATTAATGGGCAATCTAAAAGCAAAGGAAACTGCCATCGTGGATTTGGTTTTATACATGTTTTAAAGTGGGTTAGTAAGCTGGTCAGTTTCCTTAAAGCTTCGTATTCATGCATGCTAGATATAGATAGGCCAGAATTGAGTATGTTAAGTTTTTACAGCCGGTATAGTCTATGGGAAGTAATATCTGAAGGACAAATACCATGGATCAGTCTGTTATAGGTAGTGTTTGCTGGATCTGGTGCTGGTTTGTTACACTTAACATTGCCTTGACATTCACAAACAAAAAATCAACCAAATACAATGACCCAATTGGACACTTACGCGTGAATCCTCAACTTGGTCGCGACGCTCGGACTGCTTTGAGACATATAATGTTCTTTTCGATTTTTGCTTGAATTTGGACAAGTCACACGAATGTGCAAACGTGGACTGGACGTGGATTTAATGGAAAACAGACAGTACAGAGATGCTCGATGGATGGCGGACATCGGATCCTGATTCCTGGCGGTGCTGTGATTGTGGTGCTCTGGTTCGTAGTGCTTGACCCGGGATTTCGATAGTTCGATAGTTCGCGATACAGATATAGATTATGGACAGCGGCGTATGTAGGTATAGATATTGCAGAGAGAGAGAGCATTGTCTTAGCCTAAGAATGAGCAATTTATGAGCGCTTTTGGATGGATGCTTAACAAATATCTAAATACAATTTATTTAAAAAAGCTTTGGCTTTGAGCCTGTGATGATGTCTGATGTCTGACGATGATATCTGATGTCTGACAATGATGTCTGATGGATAGCGTTGTGGCCTGGCTACAGATTCATTCTATTGCGGCTCATCACCTGATGCACCGCCTCCCGCGCCCGTCGAAATATCGCGTCCGTGCTTGCTTAGCCACTCGATGATCACGCCGTTGGACCAGCCGAATCCCGTCTGCACTTCATACTCGCCACCTGTGCCATGTCCTCCGAAAACTTCGGCATTGTACTGCAAATAGAGGATCATCGAAACACGTGACAGGGGTTAGGAACAACAAATTTTAAACCAAAAACATTTACATGTATCAAAGATTTTTTTAAACCATTAAAATATAACTTTTTTTAAACTTTTGTTTTTGTGTTTAACTTTAAGAATTAAAGCATCTCTTGAATAAAATAAGTTTAATTGCTGGGATACCATTGTAAATCTCACTTGTTAATGTTATTTAATTATAAATATATTAATCTGCGCAATTTATCTTAAGCTTTGAATATTACAAGAAAACCGTAATTTAATTTAAAAAAAAGAATCGAGTGAACTTTCTAAAATTCGCAAATACTACGAGGTAGAAACTAGTCAAATTATATTTAAAAAGGATATAACTTGGGCTCACCTTCTCGTACATGTCAAAATTGTCGGTATAAGCCTTGAAGTTTGACTTCACCCAGCGGGTGGCCCACTTCTTGGACATGTTCTTGGCCTCGGGAGTGTTCAGGTTGTTTAGGCCCTCGACCACGATGTACTGCATCGGCGCCCACACATTGGGAAAGTCCCACTGCTCTCCGGGAGTGGCCAACGTGTTGGGAACTCCGCCAGGATATGTGTCCAGCTTGTTCTTCTCAATATAGGCCATAATTTTAGCCGAGATCTTTTCCGTATCGGAAATGTTGAAGGCCTTAGCCCACAGCGGCGAGAGATTGGTGGACACAAAGTAGTTGCGCGGCTTTTCGTTCTTCATATCGTAGTCCAGCCAGCATCCGACCTCCTCGTTCCACAGCACTTCTTGGATGCCCTTTAATTTAAAGAGCATTTCAATATTTAAATTAGTTATTTGTTGTTTTGCGGGTAATTTTTGATAATGTATATTGTGATTATAAAAGATGACTCTTGGTCATACATAGGAATGATCGTCGGTGACAGACGTAATTGCCATAATTTTCAGAGCAATTATCAAATGACAAACATTTTTTAATAATATAATAATTTAACATTTCAATAATATGGTTTACATCATCCCCTTTAAAAATGATTGCGTTTATATATTGCGCTTGATAAAACCAAAGTTTGTTTGAACACGGTGGCAATACGTTTAGCATACAGCTGATTTTCAAATATTAGTTAATCCTTTAAAGAACTTATACCACTGATCACCATGGAATAGACTTTTCCGTCAAAAAGGAACGATATCGGGAACCATAAGAGTTATAAGTATTAGATTTGAACAAAGCATGGATATCTAGTATCAAATGATCGGGTAAACGGATCATTAAACCAACTGAGGTTCACTTACCAGTAAAAGCTTCTCGGCCTTGTTCTCGTACTCGATCACCTTCTTGGTGTTGCCGGCCTTGGAGTGGAATTCGGCTATCATCTTGGCGTTCCAGTACAGATAGGCGTTCAGGTCGACGGGCACAATGGAGGTGGTACTTAGGTTGGTCAGATTTCCTTCGTTGGTGCCATTCTCAGAGATGAACCAGCGCGTGCTAAAGTCCATTCCCGATTCAGCCGCGGCCTTCAGCTCGGTGTAAAGACGCTCCTTGTCGTCGTTTGACTCGAATTTAGCAGCGCTCTTGAAATCTTCACTGTAGGACTCTGGTCGCGGACCCGACGACGAATCGCGATAGACGCACAGGCTGTGATTCTTGACCTCCACCGTGTGGTTGTTCACAAAGTACTCGAACTCGTGCTCCAAATCCTCCAAGGCATTAATGGCGAACAGGTCATCGTTGGTGAACTCCACATATGACTTGACCATTCCGGTCAAAAGTGGCGGCTGGGAGCGGCCATGGTAGTAGACTCGTCCGCCGTTCGGAATGAAACCGATCCTGTTCACGATCGACAGGAAGTTCTCAATCATGCCGCGGGCAGTGTTGTACATCTCGCTGTAGAGCAGTCCCCTGATGATCCAGTAGGAGTCCCAGTAGTAGAACTCAATGAAACGACCACCGGGTATAATCACTGGATTGGGCACCGGGATGATCGAGTAGTGCTGCGGGTTCTTCTTCACATCGTCCTTCATTTTGCGGCCCAGTTTCTTCCAAATGTTATTCAGTTCCATGCCCCACTGCTTAAGGTCTGGGTCAGAAACAAGATCGAGGAACTTGGGATTCTCTTTCCAGTCCGTGGGTTCCCACGATTCTAGTTCGGTGCCTTTGACTCCAAAGTATTCCTGCAAAATGGTTGCCACTCTTCATTTTCTACGGAATTACTGCAGATTTAAGGTTACTTACATCGACGAATATCTTCAGGTCGTCCCTGCTGGGCGTATTGTTTTTGGCCTCCATCATTGCATTAAAGTCGGCAAGGGTCTTGTCGGGCGAATTCTTAAGTGTCATGTCCACAAACGTCTTTGAGTCCGAGAACAATGGAGGTGAAGCCATTTGGATAGTGTGCAATAGATTGCCATAGCAGTAGATTTCACTGGAAAAGAAGCAAATTAAAAATTCAATATTTTGGATTCGCCCGTTTGACAAATAAACTTAGATTTAAAAATGCTTCCCAGTACTTCCACTCTTTCTGTGCCACAATCTTAAGCTTTAATATCTGAATAAATATGTATCTCTTAAATGAATATGAAACTTAGTAAGTTACTGATTTTATATGTGTTTCATTTCTTTATAATGGGAATTTTTTGCCAGATTACAAATTTGTTTCCCAGTCTGCGCCAAAAAAATCCCGGATGATGATTACGTAAGTTAGAGCATAAAAAATCGCCTTCTAGTACACACACTGGAGGCACTAATTAGTGCAAACAATTCACGAGCTAAATGGCAATAAAACGCTACAGCCCGGGTATCCAGGTGGTGCTACTTAGCTGAACACCTGTCTAAAGAATCGATGAATCGTATCTCTTGATCGGATACGGCTTAAGTTAATGCACGAATGGCCAACACGTCACGTTTATGGCACTAGGAAAGGAAAGCACTCAAGCTGAAAACTTGGCAAGACTTTGCATACATGAACGCTCCAGACCCAGCGATTAAAAAAACGATCAGAGTCCGGAAGTCTGCGAAAACTTACCAACTTGCAAACGGGTCCAATGTGTCCTCGTGAGCGACAATGGCGTTGTCGCTGTCTATGTCGAGATCTGGGGAACCGTAGGACTTTGCCTGCGCCACAGCTGCCAGGCAACTCCAGCTCACGAGGAGCAGTTTCACATTCGCTAATTTTAACATAGCACTTGATGAAATCCCTATCACTTATTTGCTGCTAATTATATATTCTTTATATATTTTTCAAGCTGCTAGGATGACAATACAAATTGTTGCTTGACTGAGGGGTATATCCTTTCGCGTACAGGATATGCTTGCGATCCCTGAATTCGATCTGAACACAAGCACAACCAGCGCCAGTCAGCGCAAGAATACTTCTAACTGTTTCGTTGGATTCCGTTTTTATAAGACCAAATTAATCAACAAATACAAATACGATGTATAGAGCGCGACGACGAGCGATTGCCAACGAGCGAACGAGCGAACGCTCGTCGGGTGGGGCAAGGTGAGATCTGGAGTCAAGTCGTCGGAGCTGATCCGATGGGGCGAAGTGGTGGGGTTGGCTGGGTCGTTCGATCGACGGTCGCGCTTTGGGGGCGCGTTCAGTCTATTTTTAAAATCGTCAAAGTGGCCCCCAGTGTATTTGTCGGGTTCACTGGCTAAAAGTCTCGTGAACATATAACATAGTCATTCATCGCGTACTGGCTAACTGGATCAGTCTATTCGTATCTGTTCGAGCTGCTTTGGTAATTGCCTAGAGTTTCCCCGTGGCAAAGGGCAGAAGATGGGGTTTTTGGCACACCCATAAGATTTGCATACGGCAAACTGACGGTTGAATATTAATTATGATATGGCAGAACCTTGAAATATTCATAATTAACTATCTATACTTATTAAATACTTTTCCACCCGACACCCGCATCAGTTGATGGATGTAAGCTCCGAATACTTTAAATAATACATTTGCCTTGTTTTGTTGTACAAGGTGCCACCGTAATGCCAAGGAATTTTCTGATAAGTAGCAATTTTGGGGATTTTAGGCCTAGTTTTAATGCTAATTAGCAATGCTCCACTTGTGATAAAAAGTGAAAAACTGTGCTAAATACTCTTGTAACTCAAGCAACCATTTATCCAGAAAATTAATTACGGTAGCCTGATAGCCAAAGAATTTGCATTGTAATGCGGAGTTCAAGTTAATCGTACTAGGTCAGATTTAAAGTCACCCATGAAAAACTATAAATGTTAAATTTGGCCCGCAATTTATTTATACCCATCAAGTTGATATATTTTTAAGTTTATATTTAGAGTGGGTTATGTGTTAGTGACACGTGTCTGTCCCCAAATAATGGACCGGAATTGCGCCGTTTCGCATGAATGTCGCTTTGCGTAGTTTACGTTTAACGAGTCTTAATTGAACTGATTTGCTGAGTAAGGATTGCTTTTAAGATATTAACAAATGGACATATATGCAACCGAGACACAAATTTAAAGCGCAAAAAGATTGTTATGGGCCTGGATTTAAAATAAAAAAATATATTGCTAAAATAATTCGATCCTATTTTGCATCTTTCGTTGGAAGTCTGTAAAGCAAAGTCAGTTTATGTAGGGTATTGCACAATATATCTTATGGAACATTAAGCAACATCAAGTGTATGATGAATTACTTTTATCGGGGATCATCGCAGTGCGATGATATAACACCAGCTACACATATGATCTATGGCTCGGGAAAGAAAGGAAATCCAAATAAACGGAACAATTGTGCAATTCACATTGAGCCTTACGGTAGTGAGAATTAGATATCGAGAATCTCATTGTTGTGCCTTCTGTGACGACAGCAACTAGCAGGTGCGACTAAATCATTGACTTGGCACGTCACAAGCAGTTAACATTTTTATGATTTCATTAGCAAGGCGGTTCAGCATTTAAAGTTAAACTTGCTTTGATCGAAGGTAGATGGTAGATTGTTTAGTTTGCTGCAGTTCTTCAAGACACAATTTATCTAACATACAGAACATTTTTTTAAGTTTTAACTTTTCCGCCCTGCTCTAGGTCAATATGCTAAATCAATATTTATTTGTACGAACGTAGGGGTCTTTTTTGAACAATAACTCAGAAAACCGTGGATGACAAATAGCTGGCACAACAGTTGGTCTGAGGTACGTGCTAAGCGTTTCCAAATAGTAAACAATTGACATAAAAACATGATTGGATCTATAATGTTGCTTGTTTTAAATTCCCCTGACGGGGACTTCCGATTCCGCATAGCACGGAATCGCACAATTCCGACTAAATTCCATGTAAATCATAAGAATGCAGCAAGACCCTCCAAAAGATGATCTCAGAATTATGGAATAACTATTATTTAAACATTTAAACATTTTAAAGCGCGTGAGCAAAATAATTAAAAAACTTCAATAGCCGTTCACACTCTCACCATTCAACCAGGTTATTTTGCTTGTGACTTTATAAAACGTTTATATAGATCTTTGTTATAATCGTCATTGTCGTCATCGGTGCAGGCGATAAGTGCCTCAGGTGACGTCTTTGTTTGAATACAATAGCCGAACGCGCTTTACAACTCTGTCGATTTCGATTTCTGAACTCCGCTCAAAAACAAAACTTTGCCAAAATCATTCAAGGACAATATTTATCATTATGTGGGGCATTCAACGCTTTCGTATAATTGCCGTTTAAGTTAATCACTGAGCTAGCTTTAATAAAGCACGGTCCGTTTGATGGCTAAACGAAATATTTCAAACAAATACCTTGTGCGTTCAGTATGACATGTTTAAGCACAAAAGGAAAAATACAAAACACACACAAAAACTGGAAATATCATTAAGAAGCCTGCATCAGGCTCAATTAACTTGTTTTAGATTCGCTTTGATTAACGGTTCAAATACCAATGCAAAAACCTTCAAAATGTTAAATGTTAAACCTTTATACGACTCAAGGTTTACTTTTTAGATTTGGTAAAAAAACCCAACTCATATCATAATTACTGGTAATTATTTTAAGGATATTTTATATACTCGTATCATAATTACAGGTCATTATATTAATGATATTTAATGGCTTAAGATCTGTATCTTAACTAACTAAGAGCTTTTTGACCTAGTAACATAATATAATACTTGAGAGCATTTAATCTTGAGTGGACAATAAAGGTTTATCGATTGAACCGAGGCCTTGAACTTAATCTGAGAGATTACCAAATCTGGAGTACTCATTAAATTTTCTTTATCAAGAGAATTGTTTATTGCATTGATGTAGAAAATAGATTGTGAAATAATCTCCTCATCAGAGGTGGTTGATTAAATTTTCTCTTGAAGTACTGCGACATTCAAGCCTTATCGCTCTGTAAGAACTGAAAGTACCATTAAGTAATGCCTTATTCAATGCCACCAATCTTGTTTTTGGCCAAGTTCAGGGATACTGTAAAATTACTGATTACTTAGTTGAGAAGTCAGAAGCTTTAAGTAAATGTAGACACATTCGTCAACCAACAAAAAAAAAAATATATTTGTTATAGATATCGATATCGATAAGATTGAACAGGCTTTACAGCAGCAGGTTCATCTTCCAGTCTGACTGGATCAGCTTTTTGCATTGCACATTATAAATTAATAAGACGCAAATATTTTTTATAAAATAAAAAAGTAGATTTGACAGTGGAAAAACGAGAACCGAAAAAATTACACTAGCCGAGCGTTTATATTTTATTCAGTATAAGATACTGTCCGCCCGTCCGTTTAAGTGTTAAGTACCCGGGGACCACAGATCACTGACACCGCAAGTCGGTGTGTAAAAATAACGCGACTCGGCGTTTGTATCGCGGTTAAGCTCAGGGAAAATATCAGAAAATATCAGGGAAAATGTCAGCAGCAACCACAACAATTTGTATTGAAAATTATAATTTAATTGCTTTTGTATATTCAGCTTGCGGTTTCTGTTTTTTTTTTTTTGCTGGCTGGGAGATCCATACCAATTTAAATACACTAAATTACAATTGTTTTTTGTTTTTTGCGTTTTCAAATTAAATTCCAGTATGTTTTCGCATTTCTCACACTTTTATTATTGGCAATTAGCCAGGTTCTGTACGAGTTTTTATAACTCGCTCACTATCTCTGTTGTGCACCTGATTATAAGTACATATATGCCTGGATTATATACACTCTCAGGTTCTAATCAAAAACTGTGCTCGACAGCGCTTCGCCGATGTTGAGCGATTGAAGGCAAAAATCCGACTGCTTCAACCCAAGTGCTGGAGATTCAAATTTAATAAGATTTTTGCAAAGATCTGACCAGTACAGAGTTTCAAACGTTCTCTTGGGGAGATTAAGCTTAATCGTATTGTACTGGAAATGTTTTTGGAGAAACCAAGTTGTCTTGCGTTTTCTGTTTGTCTTATTAGTTAATTAGTTAATAAATAATAAATAGGTGAAGCGTGAACTGTAATTTCATCTTATTGAGTGACTGACAGTCAATATAAAGAAATAATGTAAGTGGTAAATAACTTGCAAATAATATTGTGGCAAAGCGAGGAAATCGTAAATTTTCTCCTCAAAAATCTCAAAAATGGAGCGATAAGATAGAATTTCAATAATTGCTGGTTGTATGTTAGACCGATTAATGAATGATTTATCACTATGATTGCTAACACAAACGGTAATAAATTGTTCTTGATTGGGCAAATATTGTTTACTAAGAAGATAGAAAGAAAATTGACTTTTTAATGACAACGAATCGCAACTATTCTACCTTACTAATATATGGGTTTCGGAGTGGAAATTAAAAGGTAAGTATAATTTAATATAAGAATTCAAATTAAGGTTTTCCCTCTGAAACACCCTTTTCCTTTTTGAAGTTGCATTGATCATAGCATTTTATACTTTAAGTCAGTGGTGTTGAAATGACTGGTTCTATGATTCAACGGGATCAGCATTTCCCAACTCAAATAAAAATATGAGTTTTCTTAAAAATAATAATAATTGGTTATTTTAATCTGCTCAATAACCAAAAACGAATGTTTCATTAAAAATATTAAAGTGACAACATTTCCGTTGGATGTGACTGGATGTCAGAAAGTTATGACAATTTCAGCTATAAACAATTAAGTTAGGTTAAAAAATAAAACTACCTACCTAATTTCTACAACTTTACATTATAGAAAAGGGCTAGACAAGATCAGGTGACTCAGTTACACCCCTAAACGTAAAACGTGGGTACAATGAACGTACTCTAGCTATCCCGTTCATTTAATCAGTTGCAGCCCAACTTACCTCACCTGATTGGTGCATCTCCTAATCGCAAATTGATTTGATTTTTTTAAGGAACAATGGAGACCCTGCAAGTGGGGCAAACGCAACAGAC